ATTTCTGGGCTGAGCTGCTAATTAAAAAATATTTATTTCAAGCAAAACAATGGCCGTTTGCAGTAGGTAGGTTTCGAACCTACGCTGCCATGGAGAATCTGATTTCTAGTCCGACGCCTTAATCGACAGACCAGGGCTAAATCTGTTTGAAAGTAGAACTATTTCTGGTGATGTACCATTTGAAATATAAGGGCATTATATTGTTTTAAATGTATGCACTCAATCCCCATAATTGACAAAATTTTCTGGACTGAGCTGCTAATTACAAAAATTATATTTCAAGCAAAACAATTTCCGTTGCAGTAGGTAGGTTTGGAACCTACGCTGCCATGGAGAATCTGATTTTTAGTCAGACGCCCTTATCGACAGACCAAATCTAAATCTGTTTGATAGTCGAACTATTTCTGGTGATGTGCCATGCGTTGAAATATAAGGCCATGATTTTTTTATAAATTTATGTACTCAATCCCCATATCTGAGAAAAAATTCTGGGCTGAGCTGTTAATTAAAAAATATATATTTCAAGCAAATCAATTTCCGTTTGCAGTAGGTAGGTTTCGAACCTACGCTGCCATGGAGAATCTGATTTCTAGTCAGACGGCTTAACCGACAGACCAAGGCTAAATCTGTTTGAAAGTCGTACTATTTCTGGTAATGTGCCATGCGTTGAAATATAAGTCCATTATATTTTTATAAATTTATGTACTCAATCCCCATATTTGAGAAAAATTTGTGGGCTGAGCTGTTAATTAAAAAATATATATTTCAAGCAAAACAATTTCCGTTTGCAGTAGGTAGGCTTCAAACCTACGCTGCCATAGAGAATCTGATTTCTAGTCAGAAACCTTAACCGACAGACCAGGGCTAAATCTGGCATTATATTGTTCTAAATGTATGCACTCAATCAACATAATTGACAAAATTTTCTGGACTGGGCTGCTATTTACAAAAATTGTATTTCAAGCAAAACAAATGGTCGTTTGCAGTAGGTAGGTTTCGAACCTACGCTGCCATGGAGAATCTGATTTCTGGTCGGACGCCTTAATCGACAGACCAAGGCTAAATATGTTTGAAAGTCGAACTATTTCTGGTGATGTGCCATGCGTTGAAATATAAGTCCATTATATTTTTATAAATTTATGTACTCAATCCCCATATTTGAGAAAAATTTGTGGGCTCAGCTGTTAATTAAAATATATATATTTCAAGCAAAACAATTTCCGTTTGCAGTAGGTAGGTTTCGAACCTACGCTGCCATGGAGAATCTGATTTCTAGTCAGACACCTTAACCGACAGACCAAGGCTAAATCTGTTTGAAAGTCGAACTATTTCTGGTGATGTGCCATGCGTTGAAATATAAGGCCGTTATATTTTTATAAATTTATGTATTGAATCCCCATATTTGAGAAAAATTTCTGTTCTGAGCTGTTAATTAAAAAATATATATTTCATGCAAAACAATGGCCGTTTGCAGTAGGTAGGTTTCGAACCTACGCTGCCATGGAAAATCTGATTTCTGGTTGGACGCCTTAACCGACAGACCAAGGCTAAATATGTTTGAAAGTCGAACTATTTCTGGTGACGTGCCATGCGTTGAAATATAAATCCATTAAATTTTTATAAATTTATGTACTCAATCCTTATATTTGAGAAAAATTTCTGGGCTGAGCTGTTAATTAAAAAATATATATTTCAAGCAAAACAATGGCCGTTCGCAGTAGGTAGGTTTCGAATCTACGCTGCGTTGGAGAATCTGATTTCTAGTCAGACGCCTCAACCGACAGACCAAGGCTAAATCTGTTTGAAAGTCGAACTATTTCTGGTGATGTGCCATTTGAAATATAATAGCATTACATTGTTATAAATTTATGCACTCAATCCCCATAATTGACAAAATTTTCTTGGCTAAGCTGCTAATTACAAAAATTATAATTCAAGCAAAACAATTTCCGTTTGCAGTAGGTAGGTTTCGAACCTACGCTGCCATAGAGAATCTGATTTCTAGCCAGAAACCTTAACCGACAGACCAGGGCTAAATCTGGCATTATATTGTTCTAAATGTATGCACTCAATCCCCATAATTGACAAAATTTTCTGGACTGGGCTGCTAATTACAAAAATTGTATTTCAAGCAAAACTAATGGTCGTTTGCAGTAGGTAGGTTTCGAACCTACGCTGCCATGGAGAAATTGATTTCTAGTCAGACGCCTTAACCGACAGAACAAGGCTAAATCTGTTTGAAAGTCGAACTATTTCTGGTAATGTCCATGCGTTGAAATATAAGTCCATTATATTTTTTATAAATTTATGTACTCAATCCCCATATTTGAGAAAAATTTGTGGGCTGAGCTGTTAATTAAAAAATATATATTTCAAGCAAAACAATTTCCGTTTGCAGTAGGTAGGTTTCGAACCTACGCTGCCATAGAGAATGTGATTTCTAGTAAGAAACGTTAACCGACAGACCAGGGCTAAATCTGTTTGAAAGTAGAATTATTTATGGTGACGAGCCATTTGAAATATAAGGGCATTATATTGTTCTAAATGTATGCACTCAATCCCCATAATTGACAAAATATTCTGGACTGAGCTGCTAATTACAAAAATTATATTTTAAGCAAAACAAATGGTCGTTTGCAGGAGGTAGGTTTCGAAAATACGCTGCCATGGAGAATCTGATTTCTAGTCAGACGCCTTAACCGACAGACCAAGGCTAAATCTGTTTGAAAGTCGAACTATTTCTGGTGATGTGCCATTTGAAATATAAGGGCATTACATTGTTATAAATTTATGCACTCAATCCCCATAATTGACAAAATTTTCTTGGCTGAGCTGCTAATTACAAAAATTATAATTCAAGCAAAACAATTTCCGTTTGCAGTTGGTAGGTTTCGAACCTACGCTGCCATAGAGAATCTGATTTCTAGTCAGAAACCTTAACCGACAGACCAGGGCTAAATCTGGCATTATATTGTTCTAAATGTATGCACTCAATCCCCATAATTGACAAAATTTTCTGGACTGGGCTGCTAATTACAAAAATTGTATTTCAAGCAAAACAAATAGTCGTTTGCAGTGGCGAACCTATGCTGATAGAGAATCTGATTTCTAGTCAGACGCCTTAGCCGATAGACCAAGGCTAAATCTTTTTGAAAGTCGAACTATTTCTGGTGATGTGCCATGCGTTGAAATATAAGTCCATTATGTTTTTATAAATTTATGTACTCAATCAAAAGCAAAACAATGGTCGTTTGCAGTAGGTAGGTTTCGAACCTACGCTGCCATGGAGAATCCGATTTCTAGTCAGACGCCTTAACCGAGAGACCAGGGCTAAATCTGTTTGAAAGTCGAACTATTTCTGGTGATGTGCCATTTGAAATATAAGGGCATTACATTGTTATAAATTAATGCACTCAATCCCCATAATTGACAAAATTTTCTTGGCTGAGCTGCTAATTACAAAAATTATATTTCAAGCAAAACAATGGTCGTTTGCAGCAGGTAGGTTTCGAACTTATGCTGATAGGGAATCTGATTTCTAGTCAGACGCCTTAACCGACAGACCAAGGCTAAATCTGTTTGAAAGTCGAACTATTTCTGGTAATGTGCCATGCGTTGAAATAGAAGTCCATTATATTTTTATAAATTTATGTACCCAATTCCCATATTTGAGAAAAATTTCTGGGCTGAGCTGCTAATTAAAAAATATTTATTTCAAGCAAAACAATGGCCGTTTGCAGTAGGTAGGTTTCGAACCTACGCTGCCATGGAGAATCTGATTTCTAGTCAGACGCCTTAATCGACAGACCAGGGCTAAATCTGTTTGAAAGTAGAACTATTTCTGGTGATGTGCCATTTGAAATATAAGGGCTGTTACGTTTGAAATTTGAGACACCCGGTAAACTCATGTTGATGGCAAAATACGAAAGCGTGGAAAAAAAGAAATGACGCACCGAGAGAAAAAAAGGCAGCGCGATAAGCCGTGACCGCGGTGATCGCTCTTAAATTTTGCACGAGTCATAACTAGGTTGCTTAGTGAACAGAAAAGTTATTCTGGCGTTTTACGGATTTTTCACTTTGCATCCCGCTTTGGCGACTTTTGTGGTACTCTGGTTGTTTTAAGAAGTTCCAAAGCTTATCTTGAATAGATATTGGGTTTTGTAGAGAAACGTCTCGTGTTTTGGGTTTGTTTTTTGTGCTGATACGAGGTAAGTTCTCTTTTTATTGTGTGCGTAGTTCTCGGTAGTTGTTCTGATCGTTTTTTTTTGGACAATTTATTTTAACTCATTTATAAAGGAAAAAAAAAAGGGTCAATTTCCTTTACAGTAAAAGCATAATGATTTACTTTCAAAATTTAAACTCTTGAGATAAATAAGATAAATTACTTGAAATCAAAAACCAATAAAATATAAAATTGTAGTTGTAGAATCTTTATCAATTCGTATCACTTCTTGATTTTTTTTTTCTTTTCCATTCTTAGGCGTTTTTATTTTTTTTGGCAATTTGCTTTTTGTGGTCCCGGACGGATACGAGAAACAGAAGGTTGCTATTTATCCGGAAAAGGCCATGTATTGGTTGATATTATAATAGTACGCCTAGAACATCCGGAAAATTGTGAAGAGCAAACGCCTTAGTTTCGGGAATCTTCGGAATTAACCTGAGAGTTCTACACCGACGTCCGTACTCCAGATAAGTACCACGTAGTGGAATTAGTTTTTTTATTTTCGCATACACGTAAAAGGAAATAAATCGATTCGACAAAAAGGACTGGTGTAGTGCCCAACTTAAGTTTTATTGCGAATTCTATAATTTTGTTTGTACATCTAAGATATTACCTGAACGATGAGTTGAAAAGAGGTTACTGACGGTTCCTTTTTTTTTGTCGTTAAGGGGTTACCCTCTTTTTATACTCGTCTATACTCTCGAGAGATTATTTACGCTGTAGGAAAATAAAACGTGTAAAGTTGTTTAATGTAATTACATATTGCGATCTTGTATACCGATCCCAGTGCGGCGGATAACTCTTCCCCCCCATTTCGACATTAAATCGAATAACTGAATGTCATGGAGTGTTTTTGTTTCTTTTTTTTTTGTAATAACCGTAGCTAATGTCACCAGTGCGAATTAGGTTTGGTGATGTCAGTGTTTTTAGGGGTATATAAGTAAAGAAATCACCTGGCGCCCTATAAAAAAAAAATACTCTTTATAAGTTGGTACTTAAATCGTGAATTTACCCACTCCCGCTCCGGCTGTAGCTGAGCGGCGCATACCCCTCAAATGTTACCTGGATGGTGATACGGCCACGGGGAAAAAAATAGGCAAATAGGAACAATATTTCTCGTTATAGGTAACATTTATTTTTGGCGCCCAACGTGGGGCCATTAAATACACAGTGACCATAAATATATGGGGCCATTAAATATACAGTGCCATTAAATATACAGTGCGTATAAATATATGGGGCATATAAATATATGGGGTCTGTATTTTGCCGCCCAGTGTTAGCCATCTAAGACTTTAGCGGTAATCGCTGAATTCGTGGAAGAAAACTGGGAACGTATATTTATAACAAACATTTCACGTTGCAAAATTAATTCGAACATTGAAGTTTTTGAATATGTATGATGTTTTTTTTTTGTTATTTATATTATGTTTCTATAGGTTAATATGTGTAACTTAAATAAATTGATTCTCTCTTTGGTAGCTTAGTTGGGCACTGGTATAAATTTTAAGTTGTAAAAGAGCTCTGAGAGATTACTATTTCGTTGACGGATTGATAATTCCAAAGCGTGCGAAATCTGTTAAATCTAAATAGCATTTATTCAATCCTCTTTTAGTTAATTTTCTCAAGAGTTTTGAACCGCGGAGTAGAACTGTCGTGCCGCGCCATCACTAACTTTTTCCTTTCTTTTTTTTTTGTCGCTTCCCATTCCTTTTCTTTATATACAAAATGGATGTTAGTCGTCTAGTTCGTAGTGAACTCGAGTATGAGCTCCGTGTTAACGTTAATGCGCAAAAAGTTGTTGGATTTATTAAAAACGGAAAAGTTTGGAGAATTAGTTACAGTACAGAACTTCAGACCGGACGTAACGTCAGAAATTTCTGAGGTCAACAAGACCGTCGTCGAACTAGAGACACTCTTAGATAATCGTGTTAAAGTTCAGCATAGTCATGAACACAGAATTGTGGAAGCAAGAATACAGCATCTCTATGGGCGTTTAGGTCGAATAAAAATCCCTGAAGATGATCTGGACAAAGATGCACTGAATTCTGCTATGGCTAATTTATACCACCAATTGTCGGAGATGGAGTCGAGAATGGACAAATTGTTTAACAATACGGGTAGCGGAGACACATCCCCCTCAATCGTATGTCCTCCGTCGTCAGAGTTTCCCATACCCGCAGCTACTACTTCAGTATCAGGACCCTCCAGGGAAGAGATCAGTTGCAGTGCACAAGTGGAATCTATGTTTCACCGGGGATAAGGACAGCCTTTCAGTTGGCGCTTTTTTGGAATGTGTCGAAGAATTAATGGTTTCTAGAGGCGTTGAGGAAGGTGAATTGGTATCATGCCTGATTGATATACTGAGTGGATCAGCTCTTATCTGGTACCGATCAGTAAGATCTAAAATAAAAAGTTGGACAGACTTTAAAGAACTATTAACAAGGGAATTTCTTCCTTTTGATTATGAGACTGAACTGTGGTCAGGGATACGACAAAGTGTCCAAGGACCCAATGAAAGAAGTGGAGCATATTTCGCAATAATGCTGAACCTGTTTAATCGACTGCCGCACCCAATATCAGAAGAAGAGAAATTGGCTACTCTTCGTCGGAACATTGCACCGTACTTCATCCATGGAGTCGGTTTGGCAGATATTAAAACAGTTGAAGACCTACAGGAAGCTTGTAGAAAATTGGAAAACGCGAAATACTTAGCTTCAAACTTCCGCGCAGTCACCACCCGGGTCTGTCTTTTAGAACCTGATTTAGCCTATCCTAGTGGACTTCAACGGCCCAGTAGGTCTCAAAATCCTGAAACCAGCGGTACCAAGCTCAACAGTTTACTTTGCTGGAACTGTGAAGAATCGGGCCATGCCTTCAGCAAATGTCCAAAAGCACGCCAGGAGACCTTCTGCTTTAGATGTGGGACGAAAGGTGTTACCAAATTTTCCTGTAAAAACTGCCAGGGAAACGGCAACCGAGGTCAGCAAAACACCGGCCGCAGACCTCAGTAATTCCAAAACCGGTGAATTCCTCATGGCAAGCCTGGTTGGACTTTGTGAAAATTGAAATGAAACGTACAAAAATTAATGCCATGTTTTCCTCTGCTAAAAATGACCCCCGACCCTACTTAAAGGTTAAAATTTTTGACGAACATTTTTTTGGTTTGCTGGATTTAGGTGCTTCCCAAACCGTCATCGGTTTTCCTGGTTGGGAAAAGTTACAGAAGAGTAATCTTAGGGGCGAAAAAAATAATTGTAACGTTATGGTAGCAAATGGAGAAAACTGTGACGTCTTGGGTTCAGTTTGTCTCCCCATAGAATTAAATGGTAAGGTAGTAGTCGTTAAAGCTTTAGTAGTTTTAGATATTAATATAGAAATAGTACTTGGGGTAGATTTTTGGAAAGATATGAATATAGTGGCTTCTTTCTCAGACAATTCCTGGTGTTTCGGAGCGCCCTCCCAAGCAAAGGAAATCTGCTTAATTTCAGTTTCAGCTTCTGAAAGGGAAAAGGTAAATTCCCTCGTTTCGGAATTTGTATCAAAAATGGACAGCAAATTAGGTTGTGCAAACGGTGTAGAACATGTCATCGACACTGGTTTTCATCCACCCATAAAACAACGCTATTACCCAGTTTCCCCTTATATCATGAAAGAAATTCACGAGGAGGTCCACAGAATGCTAAGTCTTGGGGTGATCGAACCTTCTAACTCTGCTTGGTCTTCACCCGTGGTTATGGTGAAAAAAGACTCTGGGAACTATAGATTCTGTGTTGATTTTAGGGCGATAAACAAAATTACCATTAAGGACGCATACCCTCTCCCATATGTAAATAGTATTCTTGATCGATTAAGAGACGCTAAGGTACTTTCTTCTATAGATCTCAAAAGTGCGTTTTGGCAAATACCATTAGAAGAATCCAGTAAGGCGAAGACTGCCTTTACAGTCCCTGGTTATGGTGGAGGATTGTATCAATTCACGCGAATGCCGTTTGGGTTGGCAAATGCCCCGGCCACCTTTCAAAGATTTGTCGATAGAGTACTAGGAAGTGACCTCGAAGACCTGGTATTCGTATACCTTGATGACATCATAATTGCCACTAGAGATCTTGAATCACATCTGGCTGTTCTCAGAAAGGTGTTCGATCGACTGCTGGCTGCGGGGTTAACTATTAATCCTGAAAAGTGCGATTTTGTTAAGACGGAGCTAAAGTATCTGGGTTATGTCGTAGATTCCCAGGGTTTGCGTACTTGTCCCTCTAAAGTCGAGAGCATGCTGAATTATCCTACACCTAAAAATGTTAAACAAGTCCGAAGTTTTCTGGGATTAGTCTCGTGGTACCGCAGATTCATCAAAGACTACGCCTCGCTCGCGGCCCCACTTACGAAGTTGACCCGTAAGTCTAGCAAATTTATTTGGTCAGAAGAGGACGATTTAGCCTTTCTAAAAATAAAACAATGTCTGGTGAGTGCTCCTGTTTTAGCATGTCCCGATTTCGATAGAGAGTTTATCCTTCAATGTGACGCTTCTAAAGTTGGTTTGGGCTGCGTGTTAACTCAAAACTTTGAGGACGGTGAACACGTAATCGCCTATGCCTCCCGACCGTTAACTACACAGGAAGCAAAGTTTTCAGTGACTGAACTGGAATGTCTCGCGGTTTTGTGGAGCGTCGAAAAATTCCGCCCGCATATCGAAGGTGTGAAATTCACGGTTATTACAGATCACTATTCGTTATTATGGCTGCACAAACTTCAGAATCCTTCTGGTCGCTTAGCACGTTAGTCGTTAAGACTGCAGGGATATACATTCGATATTGCGCATCGCAAACGGAAATCTCATCTCGTTCCTGACGCACTGTCGAGGGCGATAGGTCTGATCGATGTAACGAGAGTTGACCATGATCCATGGGACACAAAGATGTTAAATAACGTCGACAAAGACCCGTCGAAGTTTCCGAAGTGGTGTGTTAGAGAAGGTAAACTCTACAAGCTTAGCTCTCTTGGTTCCCCATCCCTAAACAGTGACTTCGATTGGAAAATGGTTGTTCCCAAATCCCTTCGGGATACTGTTCTTGTCGAATGTCACAACGCTCCAACCGCTGGTCATTTGGGCTACTTCAAGACTAAGAAGCGTGTCCAATCTCTATATTTTTGGCCCCAAATGGACGCCGATATTGCGAGGTATGTTCGCAAGTGCGATATATGTAAAGCTCAGAGTACGAAACGTTTCTACCCCCTGGGAGGTTGTCAGCACTGACTTACAAGGTCCCTTCCCTATGTCTAGCAAAAGGAATCGCTATATCCTCGTGGTAACTGATTTATTCACAAAGTTCGTCTTACTCTTTCCGATTCGCTCCGCTACAAGTCAGGCTGTGGTCGACCATATCGAAAGGGATGTTTTCATGATCTTCGGTGTTCCCCGAGTAGTTATATGTGACAACGGTAAGCAGTACGTCAGTGATAAATTCAAAAGGATGATCTCTTCATATGGTAGTAAAGTCTTGTACAATGCATATTATCATCCTCAGGCAAATCCGACTGAAAGGGTAAATCGAGTTATTAAAACCATGATCAGATCATATATTAAGGACAACCATCGCAACTGGGACCAACATATACATGAATTTGGGTTCGCATTACGGACTTCCGTCCACGAAGTCACCGGGTATACTCCCGCTTTCCTAAATTTCGGTAGAGAACTCTGTCTGTCGGGTAAACAGCATAGCAAGTTTCAAGATTCCGACCATAGTAATAGTTCGGCTCTTAACTTTGACAAGCGCCAAAATTTGGTTGAGCATCTGGGCGATCTTCAA